CAAAACCAGTCCAGCTCGTCCCTGCCTCCCTAACCTGTTCTTCCTCCCACCTATCCCCTCCTCCCACCTCAAGCCGCACCTCCATCTCCTACCGACTAACCTCATCCCGCCCCCTTGACCTGTCCGTCCTCCCTGGACTGACCTATCCCCTTCCTAACTCCCTACCTACACTCACCTTTACTGGCTCCATCCCCGCCTCTTCGACCTGTTTGTTTCCTCTCCTCTATCCCTCTTCTATCCGCCTCCCACTCTCTCCCTATTTATTTCAAAACCCCCTTCCCCTCCCCCTTTTCTGATGAAGGGTCTAGGCCCGAAACGTCAGCCTCTCTGCTCCTATGATGCTGCTTGGCCTGCTGTGTTCATCCAGCCCTGCACCTTGTTCCCTTGATACCATTGGGCTGCAGCGTTCCCAAGCGGAATATGAGTTGCTGTTCCTGCAACCTTCGGGTGGCATCATTGTGGCACTGCAGGAGGCCCAGGATGGACATGTCGTCTGAGGAATGGGAGGGGGAGTTGAAATGGTTCGTGACTGGGAGGTGCAGTTGTTTAGTGTGAACCGAACGTAGGTGTTCTGCAAAGCGGTCCCCGAGCCTCCGCTTGGTTTCATCGATGTAAAGGAGGCCACGCCGGGTACAGCGGATGCAGTATACCACATTGGCAGATGTGCAGGTGAACATCTGCTTGATGTGGAAGTTTGCGTCCTGCAGTTCGGGTGAGATGTAAAAACAGTCCTGCATTATGGCCAAGACTTTGTTGCCCAACTTCACTGTTGTTAACATAAGACATGAAGGCACAAAAGGTCGCTTGAGTGCTTTATCAGACTTAAATTTCACATAAATAATTCACATTATTACTTTTCTCACTTTATTCGTATGTTCATGATCGTTATTTGTTGAGATAGTTGAACTCGAGAGTTAAACGTACTGGCGCACACTGATGGTTACAGGAAATTAAGGATTATTTTGTTGTAAAAGTAACAAGGTTTGTGTCTTTTTGTTCACTTTATTATGTTCATGTGACTGTCACCTGTTGCACTTCTCACTGTATGGGTTGTGCTGAACTTGCAGGCCGAGTTGGCCCTCCCAAATCTGCATTGTAAAGGACACCCAGACTGATTTTCTTTTTTATTTCAAAAATGGGCTAAGCATCAATTTCAGTATGGGGGCTTTCTCCTAATGAACTCCAGTGAATATTGTCGCACGCCCCCCCCCAAGCACCATCCTGTTCTCATGTTTCCATGCAGCAGTCCAAGTGCTTGCCATGGCCAGGTTTCCTGTTTTCAGCACATATTTAAATTTCAGCTGTGCACAAGGTCAATGCTACAAGCCAGGACTTGTCCTTCATAGTTCCATTGTGGGAAGGATTGCACACAGATGACTGAGATGCAAGGTGGAACCCTGATTTGCTGAGGGGGATCACCCAGGTCCTGCTGGACACGAAGGCTCCAAGGCTCTGTTTCCACTCTGCACACTTTCACTCACACTTTCCTGTGCCAAGCTTCCATGCAAGCTGCCATTCTCCTGCTGTTCTCCCTTACACTATAGAATTTAACAAGAAAGACCACTGATCTCAGCCACAACTGCATACAGCTCGTTAGTGCGTGTCATCTTTAAACAAACATGCACAAACAAACAAATGTGATTTTTTCATGCATCACTGACTTTGCCTTGAATGTAGGATTTTATAGAGAAAAAATTTACACTTATTCATTGCAAACAAATGTATTACAAGGTATGAACTCTCCCCACAAGTGGTGCCACACACTGCAAATGTGTCACTATCTTTATCTCTATGTCTCAATCAATGATTAAATTGAAATTTTGGATCTCCTTACTTCAATTAGCTCGCATGCCCTGTTTCCTGCTTCTGAAAAGTGTATAAAATTTCCTGTACGGTATCTTAGCTATTACTACAGGTGAGGTCAACTAATGCAGCATAATGGAAATTGAAGCCAATTCGTGGTTTTTCACATGGTGCAAAGAATCTATTTTGATCTAATCATCTAACTTAGATCCTCCTTTCTCCTCTGCGTGCTGGACTTGTAAGTTGGTACTAATGACGTACTCACACTAGCATGTAAAACCTCCGTAAACCAATGCATTATATATTCTTATGTTAATTACTTTGAATCATGTAATTGCTTTTTTCTTTCTTACGAATGATTTTAAGATGGTTGTGGATGCTTAGTTTGTCTCTTAGGAGTGGAATGGAACATTAAAGGAGAAATTGGTAACCAGACTGAAGAACTGCCTGGGGCCAGGAAAGGTGAGCGTAGGTAGGGAGTTAGGAAGGGGATAGGTCAGTCCAGGGAGGACAGACAGGTCAAGGGGGCGGGATGAGGTTGGTCGGTAGGAGATGGAGGTGCGGCTTGAGGTGGGAGGAGGGGATAGGTGGGAGGAAGAACAGGTTAGGGAGGCAGGGACGAG